GGGTGGGGGGGGGGGAGAGAGAGAGAGAGAGAGAGAGAGAGAGAGAGAGAGAGAGATGAAGAAGAAGAAGAAGAAGAAGAAAAAGAACAAGAAGACAAATGTTGAATCGGACCGACACCCGCATTTGAGCGGAAGCAAAGTGCCAACGAACCGTAGCGGCGACCGTAGTTGAGCTCGAGGGTGGTATCCTCGAACATGACGACACCGTGGTAGGTGAGACTAAAGTTGATGAGCTTGACATCACGGCTTTGCTCGTGGGAAGCGAGGACACCCGTGGTGTTACGAGCGTTGAGCGCGACCTAGCATGCAGCACAATAGTGCAAGTCATGTGTGAGTACGGAGCCAGGTGGTGGAGGACCGGCAATTATGACGGTGGGTCGATTTGTCGGCAAGACAAGAAAGGGCTTGAGGTGTGAGAAGTTGGAGACCAACCTTCTCAAGCTCGCTGGTTATGGGGGTGATTTCATCGGCCTTGGCAGCCAAAGCAGCCGCCTGTTCTGTGTCCTAAGAGTCGAAAAAAAAAAAGCACATTAGACATTTGAGTCATTCAAGTCATCCAAGGGCACAACAAAGCGGCATCGGCCCTGGGTCCATCATCCCCTAACTAAGCCTGATGCATCACCACCAGCACCCGAGTATACCCAGCAACAGCTCAAAACAGCGGGTCACCTCGACAAGACAAGACGACAAAGAAAAGAAAGCAGCAGAGAGGCCAAGAGCCGGGCAACAAGGAAGGGGAGGGGAGGGTTCAAGACGCGCGCACGCGTTGCGCGGCCGCCCTCGTGGTCATAAAAACTAGAAGAAGAAGAAGAAGAAAAAAGAAAGAGGCAGCCAGATGGTGATTGGGAGTTGTGACTTACACCCTTGGCAGCAAGAGATGCGGCCTTGCGCTCGGCACGTTTCTTCTTGGCCTCAGCGCGCTTCAAAGCAGCGTCAGACGGCATCTTGAACGGCGACGGCGGCGACAACGACGACGACGACGACGAGGAAAAAGTGAGAGAGAGAGAGAGAGAATGAGAGAGAGAGAGAGAGAGAGAGAGAGAGAGAGAGCATGTGCTTCACTTCAAACTCGCTGAAGAAGAAGAAGAAGAAGAAAAAATCAGAGTTGTTGTAGCAACACTCTGAGAAAATGTAGCAAACATTTAGGAAAAAGCAGGTTACATGGGATCATTCACGTTAATAAATGTATCATAAATCAAGAACCCGTACAACGTATTGTTTAACGTGTAGGAAAGAAGAAAAAGATGTCGGCACACAACGTGGGAAAACCAGCGTGCATGACGTTGGAATGTACAGGTGTGGAACTTGCATGCGAAACTCTACGTACAACCGTCACTCCTTGACGCCAAAAGGGGGCTCTTCAAGAGAGAGCGAGAGAGAGAGGGAGGGCGTGAGGGGTGCCGTTGGAAGCCAGAAGGGGGTGTTCGTCGTCGAACGCGCCCCCGCGCGCACGAGAGAGAGAGAGAGAGAGAGAGAGAGAGAGAGAGAGAGAGAGAGAGAGAGAGAGAGAGAGAGAGTGTGTGTGTGTGTGTGTGTGAGTGTTTGATATCTCGTGTCGTCTTGTCGCCAGTCGCGCGCAGAAGGGGCAGCGGCATGAACTTGACACCGAAACGATGGCCTCTGCCTTACGTATTAGATGGCTCTTTTTCTGGACTAGTCTCCAGTGCCAGACACCAACGTCCCTCTATCTGTTTCTTCACACACATGCTCTGTCTCTCCTGTCTCTCCTGTCTCTCTGTCACTCTGTCATTCTGTCTCACTGTGTCTGTTTCTCGGTCGAGCCCGCCCTCCGCATTCCGGCTGCCGTTTGGTCCAGCACCTTTCCATAGGTGTAAAGAAAGGTCTTAGGGCAAAACCTTATGTGTGTGTGTGATGCGCACGTGGCTGCTTCTTTCTTCTTCTTCTTCTCTCTCTCTCTCTCTCTCTCTATGTCTGTGTGCTTGAAGAATTTTAAAGTGTGAACCTAAGTACAGTTTATTAAGTTATCTGACAAACGACGCATGGGCGTCTGTAACGTTCATGTGATAAACTGTAAAAAGCTTCACACTATGAGCAACGTTAAAATGTGAATTGGTTTACAGAGACTTTTAGCTGGAATGTGATTCAAAGGACCGATTACCCAACCTGGCCAGCCAGCGGTGTGGGAGCTGTTGTAGTCAGGTGTTCCAAACAACAGTTTCGATGCCGGTTGCGTAAGAGCGGTAAACTGGCGAACTGGCAAAACGGCGGCGGCGGCGGCGTTGTTGGCGTTGTTGGCGTCGGTGTATGACGCCGCGTCGTGCTGTTTATGATGCACGGTGTGCCTTTCCTTGACTGTTGTGCTGTGTTCAGTATGCTATGCGCCAGGTTTCCATGGCGATCCCGTCTGATGTTGCTCTTCGGTTTCTTCGTCTTCTGAAGTCGTTCGATGGTGCGCAGAGAAAGATGGAGCGTGAGCGGGAGGGAGGGGCAGAGCTGAAGGGGTAGCGAGCAGAGCGCAAGGGACCAAAAGGAACTAACCGCCCCTGGAAGGAAGGAAGGAA